GAATAAAAAAATTTATGATTTATTAAAAAATTTATTTAAAAATTAATATTAATAAAATTTACATCACTAATTTACATTACAGTTAATTTTATAATTTGTGAATTACTAATGACTGAATGTGACTGAAAATATTTATAATAAAATTACTATAAATATTGTGATTAAATGTAATGAAAAAATTATTATGGTCTATGAATTATGAAATTAGATGAAATTAGCTGTAACACAAAATTTTTTATAAACTTAAAATGTCTGTTTTAATCTAAACTTTTAATATTATATAAGATTTAATTAATCTTTATTATAAGTATAGGATAAACTTTAAAAATACTAGTAATATTGATTATACTGATATTTAAAATAGGATTACTAATAATATTAATAGTTCTATTCAAGTTACTTGCTAATAATACGATATAAAATATAATATACTATAGAGCAGTAATAGGTTTTGGACACGTTTTTTTAGTTTAGATAAGGTTTTGAACATTTGAAATTATGTTCAAAACCTGTCTAAAACTACCTAAAATTGTTCAATTTCCTAACATTGCTGTAGAGTTAACAATTTTATAATTTATAGTATAATAATACATATGATAAGGATTAATAAAATATAAAAAAAATTACAAAGAAAAATCATATGATAAAAGAAAGAATATTTATTTTATTAAAAGAAAGAAGAATACTTGAATAAATTACAGACTGAAAAAAAAGATTACATAAGATAAATAAATTATAGAAAGAAATAATTCAGATAAATTAGTTACTAACTGAAAGAAAAAGGATAATTAAAAGACTGAATAAAAGATCAAGAAATCAGATAATTAATGAATCAAATGGAGGGTCTTAAAGTAAAACTTAAAAATATTTAAAAATAATAATTGAAAAAGTAATATAAATATGCAGGAAGGTTATATAAAAAGCATAATAATTAAGAATGATGAACTGATCACATGAAAGCTTATGTAATATAATAGTAATACATAATGCATGATATTATAGTGAAAAATGTTATAGAAAACATTATAGGCAAATATTACAGAAAAAGTTATATAAAGAAAAAAGAAACTGAACAAGTAGTGAAATTATTAAAAGAAATATTACAGTAAAATTCAAGAAATAATAATTAGAAGTAATAACAGAAGTAATAACAAAAATAATAAAATTATAGAAAGTAAATAGCAGAAATAATAAGAATTATAGAATCTTAAATATCACATAATAAAAAATTAGATTAATCATCACAGGTAGTTATTATTCAACATTTTTACTATGTAAATTTCTTATATAAATCCTTTGTATATAACAAAAAATCAGGTTCAATTTTTCCTAAATAAAAAAAAAATTGTTTTTAATAAATAAAATTTTAAACACAAATAAAATGAATACATGTATCTGAAATAATTAGTTGTTGAACAACAAAATCATAAAAGTAAATAAAATTATTTTATTTGTATATACTGTAAATATTAAATTAGAAAATATTAATTTGATTTTATATATAATTTAATTTCACTATAATGAATTTTTATATTCTGAATTTTTTATTATAATGAATTATATGAGTGATCCTAAAATTTATTAAATAAAATTATTGAATACAGTCAAACCTTGATATAGCGAACCCTTGATATAGCGAATTTTTAAATCAAACATATTAAAATTACCTTTACTATAGTGAACTAGCCAATTAAATTCTTTAAAAAATTCGTTATAAGCTTATAACGAAGTTGATATCTAGATCCTAGAATTCGTTATATCAAGAGTTTACTGTATAACGAATTTTTATAACAAAACTTACTATTATGTATAACGAATTGAAGATTCTGACCAAGTATAATTAATAGAACTTTTGTTAACAAAGCTTTTTTATATAACAAATTTTTATATTAAATTTAAGAGATATAGCGAATTATTTTCTTGTATTACTATTAAAAAAAATTTTACATTATACATTTTAATAAAGTATAAATTAATAATTTAAATATTTGCAAAAATATAATAAAATATGTAAAATTATTTTATTTAATAAATTTTTATAAGGATTAATTAGTATTGAACCTCAGATTAATTAGTATCAAATCTAGAATTAATTAGTGTTAAATTAATGATGATTAATTAGTTTAATTAGTTGATTCAATTTATATAATTTTATAATTTAAATTTGAAATTGCTAAAAATTTCAATTGCAAAACTGTGTAAATTTATAATTATGAAAATTTTTAATTGTGAAAAATATGTATATGATTACATCATATACACGATACATGATATTTGTTATTATTTTTTATTATTACTTATTTGAAAAATTTTGAATAAATAAGAACACGTTTATCAAAACAAATGAAAAAAACTATAATAAAGTGAATTTAATTTGTAAGGGTAGTGGTGAAGGTATAATGATAAAATATAAGTATTTTTTTACGCAATTTTTGTAAAATTTAAAAATACTTTTATTTCTGATAAAACTAACTCAGTTTTTATTCATTTGTTATATTTAAATATTTGTTAGAAAGAAAACAAAAATTTTGGAAAATATAGTATATTATTATTTTAAAATTAATTATTGATTTATTTATTTATTTTTTTTTTTGGTGCTGTGACTTCGAATGTCATCCTTTTTGACATTTAAGCCCTAGCTTATACTGAAGTATTTATCAGATACCAACTTCATGGTAACGTGCTAGGCCAAACAATCTAAGGTATTTCCCTATTTTTCAAGTTATCTACCATATCCTTCAATATGCTCATCTAAGTATGACATTCTAACCCAGCAACTCGAACCTCTTGTTGCGATTCAGTATTAGGTACTTAGTATCAAAGGTACTGTCAAATTTGGATAGAGTGTTCATTTCAGCCATAGTGAATGTCATCACTATTCTTACTATGATCTTAGTGAACTATAACTAGGATCAATTACTTAGTCTGGTTTTATCACTATTATATAAAGAGCTGTAGGGTTCATGGAATAGTACCACAAGATTTGCCCAAATGGTAATCTCCAGTTATGCATATAGACTACATCAACCAGGTGACTTTGATACCCATAACGTCAAATAATTCAGGAATCAACCCTGACTTCTAACCCTAGTAACAGCTCGATTAGATAGTGCTGTAGGCGTGCAATGTAGTTTATTATCACTGTTGGTCTAATCTACTAAGTTCTGGTCAATCGCTTCCTTAATTTATATACAATCTTATGATCATATACGAAAATAAGGGTTCCTGCTATGTGAGACGTAAGACTGTATCTATTATAGACCAATCAGCAAAGGCCAAGTTTCTATCGATTCTAGGCTTCATTTGCACCTACTTGTTTTTATGCTGTGCAGTATTTAGACATGATCAATATTAATCAATGGATCAATCAACCAGATTTATACGCATGTTAGTACATACGCCTATCGTATTCAGTACATATGAAATTCTTATGAAAATCATTTAGTTTTATGTATCAGCTGATATCTGAACTGATGGCTTATTGCTGTGTAATGAAACTTTAGCTTAATAGAAGACTCGCAGTTTAACCATTGAGCCAGGAATACTGATCCCTCTTAATTATTGATTTTTTTTTTTTTAGTGCTGCGACTTCGAAAGACCAACTATAACACTTAAGCTCAGCTTATACTGAAGTAATCACTAGACACCGTTAAGGCAACATGCTGGCCAATCAATCTCATTTATTTTCCTTGTATTTTCAAGTTATCCACTATGTCGAACACATCCTCTCGATATGCCTATCTAAGAATGACATCCTAACCCGACAACTCAAACCTCTTGTTGTAATCTGGTATTAGATACTTAGCATCAAAGGTATTGTCAAATTTGGATAGAGAGTTCATCTTAGCCATAGTGAATATTATCACTATTCTTACCATGATCTTAGTGAACTATAACCAAGATCTAATTACTTAGTTTGACTTTATCACAACTATATAAAGAGCCACAGGGTTTATGGAATAGTATTACAAGATTTGCCTAAACAGTGATCTCCAGTCATGCATATAGATCACATCAACCAGGTGACTTTGATACCCATAACGTTAAATAACTTAGGAATTGAACCTGACCTCTAACCTTAGTGACAGCTCGATTAGATAGTGCTGCAGGCGTGCAATGCAGTTTATTATCACCATTGATCTAATCTACTAAATTCTGGTCAATCACTTTCTTAATTTATATACAATCTTATGATCATATACAGAAATAAGGGTCCCTGCTGGGTGAGACATAAGACTGTATCCATTATAGACCAATCAGCGAAGGCCAAGTTTTTGTCGATCCATGGCTTCATTTGCATCTACTTATTCTTACGCCGTGCAGTATTTAGGCATGATCAACATTGATCGACTGATCAATCAACCAGATTTGTACGCATGTTAGTACATACGCTTATCGTATTCAGTACATATGAAATTCTTATAAAAATCATCTAGTTTTATGTATCAGCCGATACCTGAACTGATGGCCTATTGCTGTGTAATGAAACTTTAGCTATATAGGAGACTTGCGGTTTAACCACTGAGTCAGGGACGCCATTCCCTTCAGTGTAATGATAATTTATTTATTAATAAATATTAAGATGTAAAGATATTTAAGAATAGAACTACAATTCGTATACACCCAACCAATCACATTGATTAATGATGTGTAATCATTTTTGTATTTTAAAGTTTAATTGAATATAAAAATTTCGATATGTTATTACATTACTTGTTTTATTTCTAATGATATTTTGCATGAATATTTGTATATTTTATGTACTGTTAAAATGTGTGTATAAATTTACTCACAGATGTATGAGATTTTTCCAATTAACGGAGATAAGGTTAATTATTTACACATACCATATACAAAAATACAGTCATGATAGTATCTTACTTACAGTATATTTAAACAACTAGATTATCCTTTTTTTTATCAGCTTTGTTTAAGTTAATTATTTATATTTTGCTAATTGACTACATTAAATAAAATTCTTAAGAATTTTCATCCCATACTTATGAAATGAAATTTCCAAGATCAAATTCTGATCCAAATTGAAAGATTGATTCTCCATTGATATAACGTTCAATGGTAATATATATAATAAATAATACAAACCATAAATCTGACCAGAAAAGTAAAAGTGATACTTTGTTAACTTCTGATAAGATCGCATAAAATCCAACATAATAATCAATTCCACTTAAAATACATCCTATAATCACTCCAACTATTGTATTTTTAAAGCAGCTAATAAACCATCCTACTACTAAATTAACAACATAAATTATAATCAATAATTTATTGGCAGACTTGATAAGAAGTACTAAACCATAAATAAATGCTCCAACAATTGATATTATAATACAAATGGTGGCTAACGTTTCAAACCCCATAGCAAAAAATAGAATTGCAATTACTGTCAAATAATATAAAACTAAAAAAGTTATTGTTACGCGGTTAAAACTTTCTGTTGCATATAAGAATAAAGGTGGAAAAATCGAAAATATAAGGAACATCAAAATCGCACCGACTTCATTTTTTAATTGATCGTTTATGTACATTTTCATTAGTTTGATGACAATAAAGGTTGTTATTAATGTACAACTAAAAGCTATCACAACTATTGTCAATTTGTTAAGGCCTTGTATCGTATAAAAGAATAAAGGTAGAAAAATCGAAAATATAAGGAGCATCAAAATCGCACTGACTTCATTTGTTAATTGATCGTTTATGTACATTTTCATTAGTTTGATGATAATAAAAGTTGCCATTAATGTACAACTAAAAGCTATCATAACAATTGTCAATTTGCTAAGGCCTTGTACCATATAAAAGAATATAGGTGGAAAAATTAAACCTAGGAATACTACCAAAATTGCACCGATTATCTTCCTGAGCATTTTAAATTGACGTATTGGAATAAACGCGATTAAAAGAATTGATGTTACAATAATGTAAGGAATATATTCATTTATCCCAAAATGGAACATATTAGAAAGTGGTAACTTTGCTGATACAGCAGGGAATAAACAGGCCAGGAAGAAAAGAATTTGAGAAATTTTTGATAACATTGTTTAAATTTTCTCAAAATGCATCTCAAATATAAAGTATTTAATTTATATCATAATCGAGGGTTGAAACCGTATAACGTATTACTTTACAGGTCTTTGGCGATTTACTATTCTCTATTTTCATGCATGGTGAGTATTTAAATATACCATTTATTAACAATCATTTTTGGAAATATAATGATGGAGTTCGGAAACTTTTCGAATTATTAAATTACACCGCATAAATGTGTTACACACAGGCTACTAAAGAATCCAAACTCGATACGCCTATTTATATGATTTCGTCACACGAATCTGGCGCAGTATCACGACGCTTTATGCATATTGAGATCATGGGTGTAGTGTAGTTTTTTTAGAGCTTACGTATCATTCTCTTCAGGTGAAACGAAAGATACTTCATGTATAGGGATTTATTAAATTTAATAGGCAAAATTCAAACTCATTTGAAAAATCTGAGTCAAAGCTGGAAAAAACAATACTGATGAAGCATGAGTGTGAGTTAGATTTACATACTGGTTTGAATTCTATGTATTTGACGCTAAACCTGTTCACCTATACGGATGGCAAGGAAAATTAAAGTTATTATTCTACTTGTCTCACATTTTTAAACAAACAAAAGCAAAAGCCTAACTTCAAGAAATATTGGAAAACCGACGTAATGAGTAAAATGTAAGGATTATTTTTTTTACAACTATTCTTAATAGATTTTGTAATAATAATATTTATGTATCATCCAATATGATGAAAATAAACTCTTTTACATATTATCCTGGGTGAAGTAAATTTTTTCCTGGCTGTTACTGGCTTGTCCTGGATGAAGTAGAGTGGCGATTTTGAGTACCAAATCGAGGGTTTTAGGAAATATATCAAAATATAGAATAGATTATTAACATCTCTTTCATTAAGATCATATAATAATTTAATGCTTCAACAGAATGTATCAATGACATATAATTTAGTTAATGCATTTGAGTTTGGTTTTATTGACGGAAATAAGAATTATGCGACACCTTAAACCATATTCACAGTATTAGAAATTTACCGGATTTTTTAATATAATGAAGAAACTGATTCAGAAGCTGGACGAATTGGTTACATAGGCAATAAAAATACAATCGCTCAGCAAACATTAATTATTCAATAAAACAAAATGAAAACACGTTAAAATAATGAAGATTTGCAAACATATATGACCAACTAAATTAAGTTTTTATAGCCATTCAATTTAGAAACAAATATAGCAATAAAAAAGACAGAAATGTCTGACGATGTTGCTGGTGCGCCCAACATTGGATCGCCACGGCACGATAAAAAGAGATACTTTCGGTTTGTATTTTAGAATAGGATTAGATAGTTCTATTCTTCTTAGGCCTATTACAGAGGCAGAAATAGTTGCATTTTATTTTGTATTCACTTGATTTTAATTTTATTCTCATTAATATTTCAATAAAAACTTTATTTTATTCCATTATATTTCGCTATTACATTGTGTTTAATAGACATAAATAATACATAAATTGCCTCTTTACGAAATTAAGGGGTGACACTAGTACGAAGTTTTTACCTTAGAAAATAACTTCGATAAAATGAATGGATATAAAGACGAACTTAAATTTAGCAGAATAAGACATATTTGCGATTTGACATGATTTTTATAAAGATGCATTAAGATTATTTGCTAAGGTTGAGGATAAGTTAAGAGTAAATGCATTTTGCAAAGGAAATTTGATGATTTTCCATCAATTGTGATAATAATTATAATAAAGCCATCATAGAATTTGATGTCGAGCAGGATGCGGTATTAATTTTGGGTGGGTTCCTTTGGGTAAGACTGGACGAGCAATTTAGAGAAAAATAGATGTAGATAATAATAGATGTAAAAATAAATAATTTTATAAAACAAAAAGTTTTGAATTTCATGTTAGATTTAATCAGATTGAATTTTTATATCTTGATCTAGTTTATTAAATAATCATTTACTTTTTTCTTCCTTGATCGCGTTATTTGCTTTAATAAATAATCTGATAAATATTTTTGAATTCAACCGCGCAATGAACATTATTAAAATATAAAATATAACTTGAACGCGGTGTATTATATGAATCTATCGTTGTTTTTAAATCTCTTTCCTTCGACTCGTTATAATGCAATTTATGGTAGTATCGGCATTATTACATATAAAAAAATATGTTGTGAAAATTTTCATCACCATCATGTCATAAAATTCGATAAAAATATAAATCCACGTTTTTTGATTTATGCAAAAATATCGATATGACCATGATCCAGGTTTTATTTTTTGTACAGTTTCCTAATAACAATAAGTAAAATTAACAAAATTTACAAAGAGACCAAAGATATAATAAATAAATCAGGAAAAAGAAAGAAATAAGTTCAAACATTATCTAGAAAATTCTTTCCTCTAATTTATAGACTGATCTGCGACACTCATTAACACGAGATTCTAAGGTGATAAAATTTTTAATACTTGCTAAATTAAGTAATAATAAATATGGGATGGACTAAAAATATATTAATTATCCATACGTACGATTCAAATAAATATTTGTACTCCAATACTGAATTTGCTCAAATTTCAAAAACTATTTATTTTTTCAAAACTTTTTGAATGGGTTCTTCCCATATTTTTCGCGCTTTTGTCAAGGTATCTATTGTTTGTATTAGTAGTGGTTTTCCATTCTGATTACGAGCTCAACAATATTGATTGACCTACAGGTTCGATATACCCGGGATGTTCATTTCTATGATAAGTATGATCCCAGTATTATAACGTATTGATAAGTAATTATCTTTACGAGATCGTTCTTTTAATATATTGACTCTTAAGATCTGATCCCAACCGCCCTAAGCACGAATTCCTTACTCGTTAAATAATAAATAGCTCAGGTTTCTTACTTATTTTTCTTTGTTTTTTTATCATTTTGATAGGAAGACATTTCAGCGGAATACTTAATGTAGTTTTTCACAGTTCAAAATATTGGAGGTTTAAAAGGAGATTGGCGAATGGTACCGTAATACCATTATATCGAATCAACTCTTTAATGGCGGATACTTGTATTTTGACAATTAATTATGGGAAGCATCTTTTTTTATTATTATTTTGCTGTTGTTTATTTCTCCTTTAAAGACGTCTAGGCTGTGCTGAAGGGCCATTGTATGGGTTAAATAATGTTCGCTTCCCTTTAGTTTCTGTTTGTAGGCCGTGTCCCGCATTCTCATTGAACTGCTTTTGTAAATGATGTGGTTAGTAAAAGGTTATAGCTTTAAAAGGAAAAGCATGCATCTTTTGTATTAAGCTAAGAGCAACGGCTTAGTACTTTACTTGGATGCAGACGCTCCCTAGGATTTGCCTATTCATCATCTTAGATATGTTTGCCTTACACGTGACAGTTCCTTCGAGTAGTTGGTCTCTTTTCACACGCCATTCTTTGAGGAAGTAACTTAACCTTTGAACGCCCTATTGTTGACATTAGTAGTTTTCATATTTATTGTTTAGTCCTTTTATTTTTCCAATACTTTCCTCTAAATCAATCTTTCATATTACTATATTCCACAGGTCCGAAAGTATTGAGAGAGAGAAAGTAATCATTCTTGATGTCCAAAGAGAATACATTCTATTGGATTCTCATTAATTCTTCATAAAAAAATTAAAAATAGTTATAATATAAAATTTAGGGGTGATGCATAGAGAATTTAATAATTATTTTTTTGATCCTATTTTTCTTTTATTTTGAATAATTAACGACGACTTCTCGAACTCGAATAAATGCATTTTTTTTTGAGAATATCTTTTTTAAGATTAAAAGTCTAATAACGTGAAATTGGCGTTTTAATAATTTATTTAAATATGAAGATCACGACTTATTTTGTTATGACTTTTTATCATATTAATCACAGAACCTTTTTGTATTTATTTATCCCTCGGAATTTGAAATTTTTTTTGTGTTTTACTGACATTAAATTCCTCAATCATTGTATTTAAGTTTACATAAACACCATGGTAGGTGATCAATCAAGGATGCTAAAGCGGAATAAAATATATTGAAAACAAGTGAAAATTGTAATTAATACCATCGCAAAAGTTTTGAGTAAGAAAAAAAAAGTAGTCTCTCTTTATTATTTTATATGAAAAAATAAGTAAACTTCTGTATACAGTATATCATTACCTTAAAGCGCTATCTATGTTATTAATTTAAATGAATCTACTGCTCCAAGGTAAATGCATTACAGTTTTTATCATTTAATCGAACGTGGTCGTAATAATTACTAATAATTCTTTCCCTTTTTTACTCGCATAGGTA